AGGCAAGAGACTGAATGCACAAACTGTTGCAGTATAATTAAGAAAATAATTAGAAGAATAGTTATAATACAAATTAGATATAGAGATGATCATGGACATTATTAATCATTAGTATAAACATTATTAATCATTAGCTTTTAATACTACTCTTTGTCGTATTACTAATATAACTAAGGAATAACCGGTGGGTATAGGGTCAGGTGCTGGAGACATTGAGAGAAGTGACCTAGAAGGCAAGAGGTGAACCCTCTGTCATGCCCGCATAAGGGCTGCTTGAGGGCCCCTTCGTCAAGCGGTAATGCCAGTGCCTGGGAACCCTTACTTAGCAGATGGTGAAAGGGAATCTCCTTTCCTTGGAGGAGTCAGGGAACACTCTGCTCCACCAGCTTCTTGTGGGAGGCTGGATATTATCCAGGTCTGCCCGCAGTCATCTGGAGGCATAAACCCCTCTCTATGGTGCTGTGCTTCAATGGTCATGCTCCTTGTCCACTTCCATGTTCCTCCCATACTCCTGGTTCCTCTTTGAAGTTCTTAGTAGACAGCAGTAGAAGAAATAGTGAAAGTCTTAAAGTCTTTGATCTTTCTTATAACTGCATAAAAGCAAACACTGACGTATGCTACCTTCCCTCTCTACTTTGGTGACCTAAAAGGGAAGGGCCCCCTGTCCCATGATCATGTGACTTGCTTGACCTTATCAATCACCTGGACGGCTCACCCTCCTTACCCTGCCCCCTTGCCTTGTATGCAACAAATATCAGCGTGCCCAGCCATTTGGGGCCACTGCCAGTCTCCGTGTCTTGGTGGTAGCGGTCCCCCAGGCCCAGCTGTTTTCTCTTTATCTCTTTGCCTTGTGTCTTTATTTCTTACAATCTATCATCTCTGCACACGGGGAGAACACCCACAAAGCCCTGTAACATCTGGTGCTCCAACGTGGATTCACTGTGTGAAGTTGCGCTTTAAGTGTGGGACCCAGCGGAGGGCTTTCAATGACAGATTGCTGAGGATTGCGGTCATTAAGCTTGGTGGTAAGCTTGGGCACTCAGAGTATCTCGGGGACACCATGGGACAAGCCAGTACTAAGTACTTGGCCTATTTAAACTTCATAAAAACCCTTCTTAAAGAAGGAGGAATTTCAGTTTCCTCTGACAAGCTAATTGAACTCCTTGAGGTCGTCGATCTCATTTGCCCTTGGTTTCCAACTGAGGGAACTCTAGAACTTAAAGATTGGGAAGAGGTGGGCTGACAGTTTAAAATCGCTTATAGAAGGGGACATGTTATCCTGCCGGCCATTTGGACAGTTTGGTCCTCGGTTCACTCCATCTTAGAATCATTGCAGCCACAGGAGGAAGAAATGGAGGGTACTCTACCTTTCCTCTCCTCCAAAGAGGTTGAGGAAATCCTCAGTACTCTCTTTCCAGAGGACACCGCACAACTTGAGGCTGTCATTTTAGAAACGAACCTCCACTCTGATATTCCTTTGGCACCACCAAATACGCTACAGCCCACCACGCCCCCAATATTGCTTTATGAGGACCTTATGAAAGATCTCCTTACCTTAGATCCAAAAAATCCCTCTGAAATGTACTATCAGCAGCCAATGCAGCTGGAACCTCCTGTACTGTCTCAGTCCTGCTGTAGGGCTCTCAACCATCCATCTGTTTTGCCTGGTTATAAGGCTCTCAACTCTATCCCCGTTCGGCCTGGTAATGAGGCCCTCAACACTATATCTGCCTTTCCTCCTATGCATCAGGCTCCACAGAAGCCTGACCTGCAGTCTGTTCACCAGTCTGGAATTCAGGTCCTGCAGTCCACGCAACAGCCTGAAGTTCAGGCCCCTGAAAGACCTGCAAAGCAGGCAACCGTGCATCAGCTTGGCTTAAAGGCTCTCAACTTCTTCTCTATTCAAAACTCCAATTTCTTTTCTGCTTCTGGTCCAGTCACAACTGCTGTTGCTACCCATAGGCAACAGGTTACATACATTCCTGAGAATGACACCCCTCTTATGAGGGTCATTTCTCAGGCAAGGGAAGATGGGGATCCCAAGGCATGGCAGTTTCCTGTTATTCTACAATCTCCTATACCTGCCGCCCCTGTTCCAGCCACTCCCGTTCCAGCCGCCCCTGCTCCAGCTGTGCAGGATCAGTCACAGCCCGCTGACCAAGGTCAGCAGGTGGCTGATCCTGCTGCTCCTCCACACCCGCAGCTCAATGATCAGGCTCCTCAGCTGGTGCAACAAGGGCCCGCTGTTGCAGCACAGCCAGTTCCTGCCATACCTGCTGTTCGGTCTGATCCTTTACACCCTGGTGGGGTCCACTTATGACCTGCTACTTGGGAAAGTTTTTCTTTCAAATTCCTTAAAGATTTCAGAGTCGGTTAAACAATATGGTAGTAATTCCCCGTTCGTCCGTTCCACCTTAAAATCCTTAGCGGAAGATAAAACGTTTGGTGCCTTATGACTGGGAAATTCTAGCAAAATCTGTCTTATCTAAATCTCAATATTTACAATTTAGGACATG